GTTTGCGTTCAATTGTTGAAAATCGCGCTCCAAACTTTGGAGCCGTGGGTGAATTACAAAAGAGACGTCGAAATCATACTGTTTAATTAGAGTAGCCCAAGATTTCTGTTGACTTCCTGCCTTTTCTTTAGTCTACCAATCCAAAATTATTATTAAAAAACTGATTAAAAGTTAAAAAGAGTGTATAATAATATGTCAACCACACTATGACTATATATCGTGATCCGGCGAGGCCTTTTGCTAGTACCAGGCCGGCTGATATACGACAGACAGTGTACTTGTAGAGACGCTCTTCATATTAGCCCTTGCGTAGCAGAGCCAATCTCCTGACATGAACCCCATCGAAAACCTCTGGGCCATACTCGACCGGCAAGTCAAGAAACAACCAAAAAACCAACTTCGAAGAGCGATCTACTCCAAGTTTTGAAGCAAGAGTGGGCGAAAATCCCACAATCTAAAATTGACGAGATGATTCTCACGATGCCCCAAAGGATCAACAAACTCCACGAAGCGAAAGGAAGATCTATTAGATATTAATTAAATTATAAATATATCAATTCATGTGAATATGAATGAAAAATTTCATCCTTTCTGAGAAGGTGGTGTCTATTTACTTGTGACCACGCTGTGTACATACAAGTATGTTGACACTCCAGTAATGTTTCTGTGGACTGGCTAGTAATAAGAATTAAACTATATGGACTACCTAATACGGTATATATATCTGTGTGCGTGTGTGTGTGTGTGTGTAGAAATATATTAATTAAGAGAGCAGGCTAAACATGACCTACAATGTGGTGGGGTTAAACCGTCTACCAGTCTTAGCCTCTGTTTACCAGTCTCGTATGTTAAAGAAAAATATACAAGTCAGGAAAGCAAGATTTGGGTGCTCAATCCCACAACGTTCTACATCTGTATCACCCATCCCTGCCTGCAGACAGTTGTGAAAAGGTGACTGCTCTCTAAAGAAACTAAGGTAAAAATATATATAGTAAAGTAGAATAAAAACGAAAATAAGGTTCTACCATTGGGGGTAAGTAAGTCAAACTTAACTCCTGATGTTGGCATTCCAGCTCCCATTGTTAAGACTGGTAAATGGTGTATCCCCACCGCAATGTGGGTCCTACTTCCTCAGTCACCTTTAAAACCCAGGGCACACTTTATGCCCCACATTATTATAGCCTGTACCTTGATGTTCTTGTTCATTTATTCAGTGTCTAAATTTCGTTTTTTGTTAAGGCCAGTTTTGTTAATTAAAATGCCTTTTACCACAGGTTTCGATTTTCTTTTTAACGCGATCCTTCTCTTTGATGTTAATCTTTCCTTGACTGTTCTAGTACTAATATTTTATGTCAGTTTCGGACTGTGTTTTAAAACATATGCGTAAACTCTTCGAACTGTATTGTAATGTATATATATATATATAAAAACTCTATAAATTGCTTAATAATGTGTACATATACTCTATAGACTATATAATAATGTATACATAAACTCTACGGACTGTCTAATAATACATAAATAAACTCTGCGAACTGTATAATAATGTATACATGAACGCTGCAAACTGTATAATAATGTATACGTAAACTTTGCGTAATAATACATACAAACTGCAGAATATGTAATGATACATACACAAATGCTACGAAATATGTAATAATACATATTACATAAACTCTACCGACTGTATACATAAACTATACAGACTATATAATAATGTATACATAAACTCTAATGACCATCTCATAATACCTACATGGATCGCAACACAGCAGTTTGAAATACAGCGAGATAATAGTACCACATCTTAAGATATTTGGAGTATGGATCGCAACACAGCAGTTTGAAATACAATGAGATAATAGTACCACATCTTAAGATATTTGGAGTATGGATCGCAACACAGCAGTTTGAAATACAATGAGATAATAGTACCACATCTTAAGGTATTTGGAGTATGGATCGCAACACAGCAGTTGGAAATACAATGAGATAATAGTACCACATCTTAAGATATTTGGAGTATGGATCGCAACACAGCAGTTTGAAATACAATGAGATAATAGTACAATATCTTAGGATATTGGAAGAATAGGTCGCAACACAACAACTTGGACCATAGTGAGATAATAGTACCACATCTTAGAATATTGGACAAATGGGCTATACCAAACGAGGTTCTCAATGACCAGACCAGCAAGTGCATAGAACTAATAAATGACCAGACCAGCAAGTGCATAGAACTAATAGCTTATCTCAATTTCATACATGAATACAGGGTTTTACTAAAACTTGTCGCTTGTATTTCTTATTCTTACACTTAGTTAACTGAGCCATTTAACAGAAACCCTCAGATTATTCAGTACATTCAAAGACAGATAGTATAAACAAGTTTAATATAAAGTAACAAAAATCACTTTAACTTAAAATTCCAGATCGGTTTTCTTATATAGCCTATACGTCATTTGTCTAGATTTTTCGAGGGATAATTGGAGGTTCTACTCAATACCAAAGTGATATGCATTTGAAATCGTTTCTCGTAAAAAAAAGAAAGAAAAAATCTACAAAATACTAAACTTCGTTAATGCAAACAGCCAAATAACTCACTTGTGTAAATTATGGCTAGAAAAAATATCTGAATGCAGAAACACAGTTCTAACATTTTTTTTTTTTAAGCAAACCTCTTTCCTATAATGAGCAAAGCCTTAACGACCGCCAGTAGGCGTTTCCTGCAACACGCTGGACCTATCACGGAATTGATTCATATAGGTTGACTTGTTCTTGATAAAAACGCTAACTATATAACGTAAAAAAGCAAAACAGGAATACAAATTAACGTCTTTTTTAGAGCTACCCGGATCTTTCCTTAACACCTTTGTTCCTATTTTCCTAACTTCATATACTTTGTTTTATCGTACCTGTTGGAGGTTAGCGAACGATCCTGTTAATTGTATAAAGATATCGTTGCTTCCATTAACCTCCCTCCAGAATACATACAACTTTTAGATAATATTGACCTCAAGAAAGTCCAAGATGGCGACCTCGATATTAGAGAACAAAACTCTGATGGATTTAACGATACCTCTGTTGTATTGGTTATTAGACATAAATCAAAATATGTCAAATATCCCCCCTCCCCTCGTCCCTGTTCAGGACATTTCTGTCGAGAGGGGCAGGAAAAACATGTAATGCAGATTTCAAATTATTCTTAACTAACGAAGATATCCCCCTAGAGCTTCACAGGGGAACAAATTATATATAGTCTTATCAGTTTCACTTTAATAACCAGAGGACATTGTTGAGAAACACAAAAAGCTGCCGCTTTGCAATATTAGACTGTTACAAAGGAAAGATAAATGTTACAAAGGAAAGATAAATAAAGACAGGTCGTAAACTTTTCATGTCTTCTACATGCTACATAGATATAAGGTGCGTTTCGCATACACTTTCAGTTGTTTCATACAAATTTCAATTAAAACAAAGCACTTCACGATGATCCGTAAAGGGTTTTTGTTTCGTGTTTTCGAGTAAAATCTTGTATGTTAATAAAAGACAGACACTTAGAGCCCCGTTTTGGTTCATTTTAAGCTGTACAACTTTAAAAACAAGGCAAGTTGGCAATTCTTGGAAGATTAAATTGGGTTCGCTTTGCTTTAAAAGAAGTGATAATAGAAACAGTTTTTTTTAATCTGTTTCAAGTGGCAATAAACCGATTTTTAAAGTAACCTGTAAAAAGTTTTATTGGACTGGTATTATTAGCTTTTATTTATTTTACATACTATTTATATGCATTAAATTTTACGATCTGATTTGCATAATATGCATGTATTGCACATTTAGTCGTAATAAACAAACAAATTACGCACAATTACTCAGTTTTGGGTATTAGGGTAAGGTCAGGGCAACTTCTGGATACCATTTTCTTCCTGCCACTTTTGGGTGTTTCTAGCAGTGTGATACGGTGCTCCACCTTCCTGGAATAACGTTGTGTTCTTGTCCACGAAACCCGAGGAATAAAGTGGCAAGAGTCCTTCCTCCAATATTTCGACGTATTTCGCAAAATTTATGTTGCCAACGCACTCCACTAAGCTCGATCTCCCACCAACCCAAACAGCTCCCCAAACCATCACGCTTCACAGTTGGCTGCAATCTGTTGGGCCAAAACTCTTGGTGAGGCATTCTCCAGGCCCATGTCCTTCCACTGTCCGAAAATTGAGCGAATTTTGATTCGTCTGAGAACAATACGGTCTTTCAAAAGTCCAGAGGCTTGGTCATCATATCACTTGCCCATTTCTTTCGTCTGACTATGTTGGCAGGTTTTAATAAGGACTTCCGTCTAGCTGCTCTGCAACGATAACCCAATCTGTGGAGAATCCGTTAAACAGACTTCGGGCTCATCCCACCAACTTTGGCCACTTCTGCAGTCGTTAATCTGGGATCCATTTCGATACTCCTTATGACAGCCTTTTTGTCCTCTCCGATGAACCAGGACGACCTGGACGCTGCTCAGTTGTTTTCTTGCCGTGTTTCCTGAACTGCACGATGATTCTATTGACTGTCGAAAGCGGGAT